GTAATTAGGTAACACACCTGGCTACACATAAAGTGACACCTCAGTTTTGGATTTAAAATAGTTGGAGAGAAATGAAATATTTTGTAGAACATTTTCTCGACAAAAAATAATATTCCATATTATGTGGTAACCCTGTATCTTTGAAAAACGTTTCTTTCCACATCGATGATGCATCTCACTTGTTCCGTTCCTTGACAAGTCATTGGACCACATGTAGTATCTACAAGTGAACGAATTTCACTTTACCCATCCAAATCACATATTATTATCACTAAGAATAGCGCCTATGACAGATTAAGACGACTTATACAATTCTGAAAGCCCAAAGCTGCTTTACCCATTATTCCAATTTAATTTTGCTTTTATATGCCAATCACTAGACGTTTAATCTTGATTAAGTCCGGATAATTTTATGTCATTTTCGCTTTTCACCTTCCCTCTTGTTAACTGCATGGCTCGATCATTATACAGGTTTTTAAGTACCTACTGGGATTATACTATTAAAGGCCTATTATCTATATTATCTACTTGTATAAGCTGGCACGCTTGAATTTTGATTGCTGTAACACCACGGTCTCTACCTTCACATAATGTTTGCTTTCTGTTGTCCCATTTTCCCTTATTTTTTGTTTTTTTATTCTTTACTTACTTCACTTTTACTTTACGTCACCTGTACGTACGTTACTATCATTTCCTCTTACGGTTGCTTTGAGGTCAGATGAGCCGCTAAATTATTCGACATCAGACAAAATCCCACGTTTAAGAATCCAGCTGAAATTTAGTTTTCATTTTAAACTTGCCAGATATTCCTACTATTTATGATATTTCTGCACATATATCTGTAGGTGGGTAAACTGATCGTTTCTCTGACTAACGAAGTTCTATTGAAGTTCTATTGAAGTTCCATTGAGTTAGTACTGTTTGGCAAGTTTAGTGAAATTTTAGAAGAAATGAAGACGTACTTTGCATTGTCAGGCCCATATACTTTTTTCCGGAATTGATGGAAAAAATATTCTGGATCATTGTACTAAGTCGGTTGGACATGGGAGGAATTACTGTGGAAACTGTTTCACTTTGACATCCTTTGAAACACTCTGACAGTTCGTATAGCGATAACTTTATTTCATAAAAAAATATCACGCCGATTCTGTAACTGTTTTTACAGCACAAGTCTGGAAAACCATGCCAGTATCAGTTTACAACCAACATTGTGATAATATAAAATAATAATAATATAATAATAAGTATCTTGTGATACACGCTATGGTGAAATTAAAACACGTGATGTACAGTATTACTATCATACTTACACAAGTATATTAAGATGTTAAAATGCTCCATTCATATGCCAGTTACATATAGTAACCTTTAAAACATCAGGGGAAATAATATATGCTTTACAGAGTCTATAGGCACCTGTCCCACAAACTGAACAAAGTCGAATCGGTCAAAGCAAAGGATTTTTAGACTTTTAGTCAATTTAGCTACATATCACAAATGATCTCATAGTCTGCCTTCCCATCTTTCTATTCAGTCGTTTCACAGTGCCTCTTTGGTACATGACAATAGTATTGATAAAATACCTACTCTTAGTGGTGACAATAGCACATCTAACTAGGCACAGTATACCAATAAGATTTATTACACCATACAAACAAAGAACGGAAGCTAGAGCTTGGACTGGATACTCGCATGCGATGTATACATGTAGATGATATGCCATTTCGAGTATATACCATAGTGAAGTGTAAATCACTTCATCATGAATCTGAACAAACTGACACTGTTGCCATGTGACAATCAACACGGAAGGTGTCCACCAAGAATGTCTACAAAGAATGCTCTTCATTTTTTAACATCCCTATACCAATAACGCAAAGTCGCCTCTGCCGGTATAACGAAAATGAGGGTCCGTGTGACAATATAGTTATAATGGTTAGGGTTAGTCTGACCTAAGTGGGTCAAAATCTAGGGAGAGGCTCATCTGTACAAATGAATGGACAGCGGACTCTCTGTTATGGGGGACTCTCTGTCACGTTACACTTCCGTAAATTAGTTAGCTTTGTTGACGTCCCGTGTGGAAACTGTCTTGAAGGTGTTCCATGTCCCTTCCGTGCTCCACAAGTCTGTCGGAATCCTATCTGAAACTCCCGCGAAACGAAGTTATAAACGATGGGATTTAAACAAGAATTTGAAAATGCTAGCATCTGGGCTATGGTTGCTATGACAACGTACGTGATACCCTTTGGAGTAACCCGGAGGTAACTGCATATCGTTAATATTGTAAATGGCACCCAGCACACGACGAACAGAACGGTGACAGTACCGAGTAGAACCAATAGTCTCTTTGAGTTCTTCTTCGATTGTTCCATCCCCTGGTTCTCGCCGAGGTCGTTCATAGACATCTGGTGCTTGCGGAGAGCCTGAACTATACACGTAGAGGCAACGAGGGATACCGTGATGGGCAAAAAGACGTCAATGGCGGTTGTGCTGGCGACAAAATATGCCTCCTGGTACCGGTGTTCAAACACAGGTTGACAGCTACGGTAGCCGTGTTCGGTGTAGTGAAGGGCGACTGGGGCATTGACAACACACATTATGACCCAAATGATGCCACATGTCAATGTTACGCGCCATTTGGTCAGGAACCGAGCCGAATGCATTGGCTTCGAAATGGCAATGCAACGAAACACGCCGATTGTAGCCAGAGAGTATCCTCCAACGCCAGTTGTGACAAATATGGAATATTTAAAGAATTTGCACAGTCCATCCCCTATGAGTAAGTCGTATTTTTTGCCATAGTAGGCCGCCTGTAGTGGTATGCAGATTAATAGGAAAAATAAATCAGAGATAGCAAGATTTAGAAACAGAATGTTTGGACGAGTCCGCAAATGTTTGTTGGTGCAGATAATTCCAATAACCAGCCCATTGCCAATTAGACCTAGTATAAGAAATATGGACAGAATAATAGGACATACCACGGCGCATGCTGCCAGCATCTGGAGGAAGTAAACGTATTCTTCACTTGTCGTTGCGTTTATCTGTCCGTGTTCCAGAAAAAAGGAAATATTATAGCTTTCCGCTGTATTTGTGACAGGTTCGCCAAACGTGAAATTCGGTAGGTATTCCATGTTAATTCCAAGTCCAAAATCTGCAAACGTTCGTCGTCACATGTATTTGATACACCCTGTGATTTTGACAAAAAAACCTTTAAGTGAAATGTTCCACAACCGCTTGCCGATTAATTTGGAACAGCTCCCATAAGCTTTTAGTTGCATTTATTTTCTAAAACCAAAAGGACGCCAGCCAATGAGCAGTGTTGAAGTGTATCAACATACAATATGTATATGATGTGGTTTTAAGTGTCAAAAGATGGCCGGGAAAACGCCTGCTTCAAGTTACCCTTCAGCACGTGTTAATTAACAAATGGAATACAGGTCTCCACATTGACAATACATCTTCGCCGTTTTAAGTGCTGCTGCTATTTTAAGCGAAAGACGTGCATGTACCACAAAACTGATATAGGATGTAGTCGGAGATGCTACGGCTCAAATGTCATAGAAGTAATTGTATAAATGCCGTTAAGTGACCAGATATGATCAGATATCTATTATCTACCACTCGTATTGTTGATTATTTATCAGAAGATTTAGATATAATCTTGGTATTTGCTGTGCTTGTATCTTTTTCAGAAAGGCGTGTAGTAATACACCGTACATGATGGCAATGCCTATATATAAATGTAGAAAGATATCCATTAATCAGCAAGTGTAGGCGCAATCACTCAGGTTATATGAAATATAATTTAATATTAAGGCTAATGTAAAGACAGTCCATGCTCCATCTTGATTCTCGGCCAAACATTGAGATACATGTACCCCGAATGACAGTTAACACTTATTGAATGAGTAAATCGAGTGAGCACACTGAGCAGCATTATATAAAAGATCTATAAGAAATGTCTTCAGCCTTCAAAACAGTAGACATATAGGCCTGAGGCATTTTTACTTTCGAATGTGCTGAGGGTATTCTTATTCCTTTAAACACAACTAACGAGGCTACAGAATAGTTAGCATGGAATCAGAGAGCAGGCATCTGTTGGCCTACATTCTGGCGATTAATGCGGGAGAATTAAATGACTAGGAGATAAATGAACTTAGACTACAAATAGGTATTGCGTGTCTTGAACCTCGTAAAATGCCATTTATAAAATGACAATTTTAAAATCAGACAATAACCAAAGAACAGTTCAACAGATTTATTTTAGGGTAGATACGACTTTAACACAAATATCGTAGGGTTCTGAAAACTTTTAGGCTTTGCGCAACAAAATCATGTTCCATTTCAGAAAAGATTTTATGAAAATTAAGTTTAGCACGTGCAAACATTGTAGTCAATTACCGAATACCAACATCAAGCAAGCATAAAAAATTAATTGAATATTCAAGCAAATCATACGTCCCATTGTACGTATTAGACTATATGGTATGGTTTATAATCTTCTAGCTTATCCTTCGGGAGTCCCTTTCCCCGCCTCCCCCCACCCCACACACAGAGTAGCCGCAACAGTGCTGATCCAATATTTAGGACCCTATAGGAAGTAGTGATCACAATTCATGGGCCACAAATTTATCCATTCAAAAATCACAGTGAATAAATCTGAATTCATATCTCATTGAAAATGCAGGAAATACCAGTCGAAGATCATGAATCACCGCGTATGACCTCATTTCACGAATGATGAAGAACTAAAAGCCGCATTCACGGGTATAAGGTTATTCACGGATCACACGATATCATACGAACGTTTCACGCTTTTAGGGAAATAAAAAGTGTCCTTTTTAAGGGTAATGAAATATCGAACGGGGCCTTCATGATTAACCAGTGGTGGTAGCCCAAGAGAATGAAATATCGCACCTACTGTGCAGCTACATGTACCTTATGAGGTAATTAAAGCAACACACACACACTTGCAGCATTTACAACAAACAAGAAGCATGTAAACTTATTTGAAATTTTATTTACATAAACCATTGCAATAAATGATTTAAAAAAATCTCCGTTCTATCACAGTTGAAATCACTTGCAGAAAAAAATTGGTAAAAAAGTTTCTAATTTAAATAAAAAAATTTGTTGTGCTTGCACTGAAATCTGAATGATGATTAATCTGCATAGATTGTTTGTAACAATGATAAAACAACAAGTCAAATAAAAATGGATTTATTTGAGCGTATTCTTCTCAATCTTGAAAAACTTCTTCTGTAAAACTTCCGGGAGCCTTTTTGAAGCTTGACCGTTATAATGGCGAACCCAAGCATCAAAGACATCCGGTTTTCCAGCGCTCATCGTCGCAGTGTACGTGGTATGCCTGCAAAAGGTAGTAAACTAGTATCTTAAACCCCTTTTACACTGGACGGCGTCCTTTGTGCGTCCATAAAACTGGCATGTCTGTAGTCGTAGAAAGGAGACACAAGCATCGCTTTGGTTGCAGAGGGCTTTAAAGATGCACACAAAGTCAATTTTTTGTCACAAAAACCAACCAAATGCCAGCATATCGTTTCAAGTAGTATAACTAAGAGAATTACCAAAAGGCATTGTATAATTTTACCCGAAAATGATGTTTGAACAGATTTTTCTGCTGGCATTTTAAGCTGTATGTCAATGGGGCAGGAAAGTAGGTCACGGAAGTAGGTTAAATTTACAACCATAAATTTAAAGAAAGGAGCAGTCTAAAGGTCTTTTATGGCTGATGGAGTGATCTATTCATTTTTTCCCTTGGCATGTCGAATTTATTTGAGTCATATAAGAATCTAGTAGAAATGGTTTACATGTGTTACTGGGAATCCACACTCCACCGATGCTCGGTTCGTATGTACCTTTAAATGTCCATTTTTTTCTGTTTGTCAATGTTACATTACTATAACATTAAATAAATGAACTATAAGCTTGGTTAACATAATATGAACTGTATAATCTATAAAATTATTGCGATATTCACCTGTTTACCACAAGAGGTTCCGATAATACTTCAAACAATGTGCCCTTGTTGATGTTTTGTTGGCCAGTGGAATTCAATGCTTTCATAGCCGGGGTTCTGCAATACATAAAACTACAGTTCATTCACTTGACCATTCATTTCATAATTTTTACTCATTTATCCTGTTCTCATGTTTTTTTTTTAATTTAAAAGTATCTGAGTCCCTAGCAAGTGGAACATGTTTGGGTTCTTAGTAAGCTGAAATATAAAACAACTCACTATGAATATAAGAAAAATTCAGTGCCAATGAAACAATATGTATATATGCACTTGCACATCAAACATGCACTTGTATGTACATCTACATGTATGCACTGTTATATAAATAAAGCTCTGCTTCCAACGTACAATGTATGGTTAAAAAACCTGCTACTACTGGTCTTACTGCAAAGACTGACCATAAAATGACCATGCAAAGCAATATCCTACATTGTACAGGGGAATTATATTGAACTGAATTAAATCAAATTTATAATCATTAAGATCTACTTTCAGTTTTGAGACTTTTTTTCATTATCTTTTAATATTTTTTTGTGAAACCCTCCCCAGAAAAAAAGAACCATAGGAAATAAGATTTATGACATCTTTCTCTCAGATTTTATTTGTGAAACCTGTCCAAGACAAGTGAAACCTCTGCTTCCCCCACAGTAGTAACCCTTACCGTCTGTTATCTGTGGCAGGGGGGTCCACCCAGTGATCATAATTAGTCTCCACCAAATACCATCTAAGAATAAACAGAAGACATTATAGCTATCTATATAGTCTACACCAAATACCACCTAATAATAAAACAGAAGACATCATAGCTATCTATAAAGTCTCCACCAAATACAACCTAAGAAAAAACAGAAGACCAGTTTTATAATTATGATTTAGACAAAGGTCCAGCAATTAATTTTTACATGTAACCACTGTACCACTGTGACAGACAAGTTTTGATTTTATGCTATAAAGTAAACAAATTTATACCAAAAAAAAATAAAATAATAATAAAAATAAAAAAAAAAACTTTCATGAGAGCACTAAAACACATGTATTCAATCATCTCCATCATCCTCTCAATCCAATATTTTATTGAAAAGATATTGTTCTTGTCTCTTTTTAGTATTTATTTCTACAACTGTTGAAGGACCTCACAGGACCAATGTAAGTAAGTGATCTGTGGCTGTTATATAAACTGTCAGAAAATACTTCACCTTCCATTAGGGATGTCTAGTTTCCATACATTGTCTGCCTGCAGTCTGGCCCGGGTAACAACTGCTCCCTGGCTGCTGTTAGCGCCACCTATAATGAAGTATCCCTCTGCTATTGTGTCTGTTGTCACTATTCTGTCCAGTGCTCCTTCAAATGTGGTTTCTTCTTCCAAAGTCTTGAAATAGAATTTAACAAGACTGACCACAGGGAAAACTAATCCAGAAATTAAGCATTAAGAGAGGGGGGAGTGGGGAAAGGGGGATGTGGAGATGGGGTGGGGGCGGGGGTGGGGGCAGGGGTGGGGGGCTTAACTGAGCCAGTAACACACCATAGGCATTTCTTAATTTTGTCTCTGTTATTTATGTTAACAACACAGATAGAATAAATCAGACTTTTTGTTGCATGTGCAAATCTGGCTTCAGAACCAAGTGTTGAAAAAAGACTATTTCTGATAAAGGGACACACTGATCACATGCTATTAGGGGAATGAGAAATATCATTGGTCATAAAGCTTTCTCATAATCAATCTTATTGGCTATGCATACTTTTCTAATGAGGAATCCAACTGGCCAGGCTTGCCTGTCCAGAAGAGCCACGAGTGCATTCATCCACCAGGCTCCTTGATCTAAAAAGTGACAACAAAATTAAAGATACAACAATATTTCATTCACTGAACAAAAGGAAGTCTTACCATAACCAGTCCTACCATAACCAGTCTTTATCAGGGGCGGATTTAGGCCGTCTTGATGGGTATCTATTTTTTCTGTCAGAAGACGGTCAAAAAATGAGGGATGGCGCAACAAAGATAATTTGGAAGACTGTCAGAAAATATCTCTGGATCCGCCACTGTTCATCTCAAGTGACTTACAACAGAATTATGGATAGGAAATTCTGTAAACAGTTTTGAATGTATACTATAACAAAGAGCGCCACATGTACTTAGGTGACTAAGTAAACAAATTTAAACAAAAAGAAAAGTGTTAAAAAAATGAAAGAATATTGTTACATGTTACAGTGTGTAAGGGCTCATTCCCAACAACTGTTCTACATTGATTGATCCAACTTCACAGGGCTCTCACTGAATGCAATCAGGTTAACAGATTTATACACCTCCTACAGGCAATGAGTAGAATACAGAAAAGCTTGTGATTATTTTAGTACCTTGGAAACAAGAGGACGCATGTTAATCTCATTATCAGATTGCACTCAGCAAGAATCCCTGCAAAGTTGGATCAATCTATTTAGAATAATAGTTTCATTGGAGAGAGGCCTAAAATTGTAGCACTCATTGTGCACCTTCAAACATGACAAACCCTTCACAGACCTCTCTCATCAATAGAGATGGTGAATCCATATGGTCTCTGTCCTGTAACTATGCCTGCAAAGCCCACATATGTTACTGCACTGTATACAGTCTGGAATGTCAAAATAAAATAAACCCATCTCCAAAACAAGAAGATGCAAATTGAAAATCACATTGCTGAGGACTGAGTGCATAGTAGTCAATAATGCCAAAGCCCTCATGGAAATTAATGTGAAAGCTGTTGATTGCACAAGGTTTGCTACTTAATAGTTATGTAGTTATACATGTACACATAGTATGGAATTAAAAACTCAATCATCCTCATATTGGAAACTATGCTGTGGGCATACTGGTAATTTTCTGTTGGAAATATCTATCATTACCAGCCCTTGTCAATTTTCCACCACACACACATACACACACTAAAAGCTTAATTTCAGGTTTTTCATATTTTTCTAAGATCAATGAACCATCAAACCAATCAACACCTAGAGAGAACAATAAATCTTTAGGCAAGGCACCCAATGAAAGTAGCCTACCTTTCCTCCTTTCTGAAAATGAACTATAGCAGTAATATTCTTCAGCATTTCAGTGAAGCCGTACTTGCCACCATAGTCCAAATTCCTGGCATGCCATATCAGTCCATTCTTATCTTGGGCCACTATGCTGGTACAAAACCTGAAAATAAAGTTGAAAAATTATTATCTACAGATGTTTCTCTTTTTGTACAATACTTGATACAAAAAGACAAACAAACAAAATAATTTATTATAAAATAAATATTTTTTTCAAATGTGTCCATTGTTTTTAATCTTTAAACTTGGCAAATCACTGCCATGATCCTTTTTTTAAAATTGAAGTTAATGTAATAGAACTCGTTTCTACTCAAGTGAAACATACAAAATAAATAAATAAATGAATAAATAACAAGGCAGCAAAGCTGTCAAATGTACAGACAAAAAACAGGAAATAACGATCCACAAAATAGGCTACTGTCAATTCTGATGCAAAAGTACATTATGTTAAAGTGCAAATTCAACATCAAATTTTAATTATGCTCAACAGGTAATACCAATGTAAGTAAAATGTGTAACAAGTTCACAATTTGAAAATGTATAACTTCCAGAAAAAGAAGCCAATTAGACTGCTTTTCCAACTCAGGCTGCATTTTAGTGCTGTATTTCTTTTATGAAAGTTTGGCAATTATAAGTAACATGATTTTCCCATAAAGGTCATCATGGCAGCAGCACCCAAAATTGTGTATTCTTCTATTCTGATGACATATAACATAATGCTTAACAGCATGATGTACGTCAATCTTTAATAATAAAATATACGTATCATAAATTTTCAGAAAATGTGACTAGCATGGGTCTTCAAGCCTGTGGAACTTCAAAGTCACACCTTGGAAATGCCAATATGTGAAAAATTAAATTTTCACAAAAAAACTGTTTAACTGGCAGTAAGAATTACCAAACAGACTGCATTGCCTACTGAAGCTGTATTTTAATCCCATGTTTCTTTCCTGTAAGTTTAAGAACAGTAAGTGACATGGTTTTTCTTAAATGGTCATCATGGGAGCAGTGGCCAAAATAGTTTTTTTGTTAACATTGCCTAAGAACTGAATCTGAGGAAATGTGAAANGGAAAAGATGACTTCTTACGCAGTGTCTTCATAAAAAATTTTGGCCATGACTATGCCTCCCACATCTGCACCACTAGCTTTGGCTATGCGTGGAACATAAATATATACACATCATAGGGTTTTTCTTTTGTGATCACACTTTCTCTCTCTCTCTCTCTCTCTCTCTCTCTCTCTCTATCCACATGCACACGCCTTGCCCCCCGCCCCCCCCCAACACACACACAAATCCAAACACACACACACACACACACACACACACACACACACCAACTTACAAACCATTATTCACATATTCAACCAAGGGGGCACACTTGGTCTTGCAGTTTTTAATTTCACTGACAGGGGGTTTATTTTTTTCTTCATTGACAAGGTTTGTTTGTGTCTTCATGGACTAGATATGAGTTTCACTTAAAAGTACTTTCTGATAAGGTTTCTATTACATACATTTAAAATTATCTTTCCAAGTTCATAATAATCAAGTACTATACAGAGAAATAACATACACCATAACTTTTCCTTTAATCAAGCCAGTAATTACCATTATCTGATATTTCTGATTATTACCATAATCTGATATATCATATTTCACCATCACAATTTATTGTTCTGAGAGCTCAACAAAGACTTGCTTTGAAGATACAAGAGCTGTTTAATTTTGCCAATGCTCATTAAGTGCATAATAATGTAGCCTTTTCCTGTTTTAATTGCATCAAAGGTTTGCTTTGATGATGCAAAGAACTGTGGTATGATGCACAATAATATCACCTCATAATGTGGCTTACATCTATATATATAATGGAACCAAGGACAACTACTTACAGTGGGGGACAAAAAATAATGTGTGATTGTTTTAAAAATTTTTTTATGACATATATAAGAAAGTCTACTGCACACATTTGGAATAAGTAAATATAACTTTATGTAAGTAAATATACTGTTATTATTATCATTATTATCACCACCATCATCACTCTTCTTATTATTATTATGTTACAAAATGAAAATTACTATACATTTTTCATAGAGCTCACTCCCACTGAAAAAAAACTATTGTTTTACAAAGATCAATCCAACGGTGCTGGGACTCTTGATGAATGCACTCAGATTGACAGATTTACTAGTACTAGTACATGCTTCTTCTTGTTTCCAACACACTTGTATATAATTACCAGGTTTCCTGTATTCCACTCAATTCCAGGAGGAGGCATGTGAATCTGTTAATCTGACTGAATTCAGCAGGAGTCCCCACAGAGTTGGATCAATCTACAAAGCACTAGTTCCACTGGGAATGAGCCCATAAAAGAGGATTTTTGGAAGTAAAATTGTTATTGGATAATGATACATATGTTGGATATGTCTAGTGTGATCTCCCACATAGCTGTGAGGGCGTCTTGATAGTCCGAAGGTTCATTGGTCCGAATATTCACTACAGAACCTTCGGACCAATGAACCCTTGATTAAAAAATCGATGAAAATGTTACCACTTTTCGGACCAATGAACCTTCGGACCAATGAACCTTCGGACTATCAAGACGCCCCCAAAATGATAAATCACAAAAAAAGTAAAGCATCAGAAACAGTGTGGTGTTTGGAAATTACAAGTATTCACTGCATGCATGTGGCATTACCTCTTATTTCCTGAGCAAAAGGTTCTGGCAGATACTTGTCTAGTTCCTGGGCCAACTGGTCAACCAGTGGGTACACATCTTCTGGGATGACACGCCTTCAGAATAGAAATCAAAAATAAGGTACATTTTATCGTTTAACTACAAATTATTGAATTAAATCAGGCATAAAACAAGAACATTTTAATTGGATGAGAAGCACAAGCCATTCCAATTTTTTAAAAGACAGTGATGGGGAGAGAGGGAGATATCCCCCCCCCCCCTGCACTCCCCTACTCTCATAAATAAATATACATATTTACAATCTATAAAAATCTATATAGTATTTATACAGTTAAGTATAGTTGCTGTTTCACTTTTGATTTCACTTTTGATTTCTTTCATAGCACTCAGAATGAATGCATGGTGTTTCTTTACTGCACATCCAAGTATAATTATAATCTGTGTACTGTATATTAGTGCCTGTAACTGCATGAGATGTACATGTATCTGACATGTACATGTAGCAGCATTAACAACCTTGATAAATGGATAAAAACAAGGTTAATCACTGTCCACCTGTGTTATCAGATATGTCCCGATACTGGACCAAATCACCTGTCATCATATACCCAGTGCAAATGTATAGCAGATCTATAGATACACCAAAACCATGCTGTACATATACATTGTATTACCACGAGTGCCTGTATCACTTATCACACTATGTCCAGATAATGTAAGAGTACACTTCAAGTGCACAGGCAGCAATTTCTGTGGGGGCAACCTGCTACTGTCATATTGCAAAAGGGTGTGTGTGTGTGTGTGTGTGTGTGTGTGTGTGTGTTGCCTCAGTTTTCGGCCTTACATGCATTGAAATTTACTTCAAGGTATTGCCAAAAACTGGGGCAAGTCTGTGCTGGGTGTGTCTATGGGGGG